GTGCTGGTTTGGAAGGGAGGGGTTGTCCCAATTCATTGCACACCAAGTCCTACAGACACTAGAAATACCAAGTTTACAGATGGACTTATCCCTTCTCTTTAAAACCATTGACTCTTGGAAGTGGTAACTGTGCACAGTGTGGCTGAGACTGTGTCTAAGGGCTTTAGTTGCGTTCTATGCTGACACAGCACTTACCACTCTTGATCTCTGGGCTATTTATGTGCACTGCCTGCTACACACATCTCTCATAGCTGTGTCCTTACACTTGCGTTGGTACCAGGAGAAGAAAACCACGGAGCCATCAGTAAGGTAGAGCTGGGTCTTGCAGCGTTCATGTGTGAAGAGCTCCCACAAGAGTAAATTACAGTTTGAAAGCAGATAATTGGATCTTTCTCCTACTGAGAAGTAACCGAGGCGGCTTTGAAATCTGAAACTCATCTGCAAACAGCTCAGGCAAAGCCCTCGGGGCCAGAACGTTTACTGGGAGAAGTTCGGCTGCTGGAACACCTCTGTGGGGTGAGCAGCAGCAGTTTCACACAGCGGCAGCTCCTGGGTGCCAGAACACAACCTCACTGTGTGCCAGAGAACACGGGAGGCTTGCCCAGGCTCCTGCCACACCTTTCCAGACGCCTCACAAGGGCTCTGCGTGTCTTTGTGCTACAGACTCAAGGACCGAGTGCTGTTGGCACTTACAGAGCGCTTTCGCCAGGGTAGCCCCAGCGCTGCAGCAGCCCCAGGCTTGCTGAGAACATTCCTCAGTGGCTGGGGTTCAGAGTGGCCTGTGAGGTGTCCCGTGCCTTAACTGTACACTGCTGGGTGAGCCCCTGCAGGGAAGACCTCGCCTATCCTGGTGTGGTGGTTAGCAGAAGGAAAGCTACCATACCTCACCTTTGATTTCCATCAGCAATGCATTGCTGCTGTGTGCCTTCACAGATGGAATACAGAATTGCATGGGTATAGCTGCTGTACATGATCCGTTTGGTTTTGTCTCTACCACTGTGCATGTTCATCAGTAGAATTCATCGGTCTTTCAGGTCACAAACCCCTTCAGAGGATGGTCATTTTCTGTTAACTCTTAAACCAGCACTGACAATACTGAGAGAGGATTTCCAAAGGACTGACATCCTCAGATTTGAAACTTATCCCTGCAAAGGGGTTGCCTTAAATCCTTAAAACAATAAAATGGCCATGAGGCTGTAACAGCTTTCCACAAGGGAAAACCTACATTTGCAGCCAGGCAGTTTTCCTTGACACACACTTGTGCCTGTCTTTCTTTGCAGCTACCTTCACTGCTGTCAAGATATCGTCCTTAGCAAGGGTAACCTGGAGAGCTGGGGCTTCAGCATCGTTGGGGGCTTTGAGGAAAGCAAAGGAAACAAACCATTCTTCATCAAAACCATAGTGCCTGGGACACCTGCCTTCCGAGACAGGAAGCTCAAGTACGTATGTCTGCATCAGAGACACTGCTGCTTAGGTCACTGTTTTACTGAGGGGCTAAAGGTTGATGACTTGTGACTCTTAGACACTCATCTGTGCAGTTAATGCTGATACCAGCATTGTACCAGAGTCCTAGTACCGTATTAATGACTGGTTTGGTTTCTTTATAAAGGTGCAACTAAAAGGAATTAACAGTTGTATTTTAAAAGGCTGTAAAGGTTTTAACTGAGTCGTTGATAAAAGTAGAAAGGGGATATTTCAGACAAGTGCAGCACTATAAAAACAGAAGCAGGGCTGCTGTCGTGCAAGGGATGTGGGGTAGGGAGCTGGGCTTTGCTCACCTGGAAATGGTGTTAAAGACCAGGGCAGGGTCAGATCCTTGCTGGGAGGACTGAGGGCAGCTGGGCTCCTGTGCTATCCCCACTGGACACCAGGCAGGCAGTGGGCTGCCTTCAGCCCCTCACATCATCACAGCTGACCCCAGTGTAACTGCTTGATGCACCACAGAGATGGGCAGAGCAAGCAGGATGCCAAAACCTCTGTGTACAGAGCTGGAGCCTCGTGAGCACTTCACCTGAGCGACTGCACTCGTAGCTGTAGGAGTGACCTTGGCCATGAGTGTGTTTATCAGCACTAATTTGTTTTCTATAACTCCTTCCTCTGCTGAGCAGGGACGGTCACTGCTGTCCCTCGAGCAGCAGCAGTGTCCTTTTCCCTCACCCTCTGACTCAGAAGTGACAAGCTGCTCCTACAAGGAGCTGATGATCTTGGCTGAGGGTGGGCTCCATGACCCTGGTGGTCCTTGGGCACAGTGTTAGCAATAATTAAGTCCTGACAAGCATTTTCCTGTCTCTCACTAGGTGTGGAGATGAAATCGTGGCAGTAAATGGAGTGCCTGCGATCGGAATGAGCAACTCGGAACTCATCCCCATGCTGAAGGAGCAAAGGAACAAAGTCACGCTCACTGTGGTGTCCTGGCCAGGCAGCCTCGTGTGAAAGCTCAGCCACCCCGCACCCCAGTTCCAGGTATCAGCTGCCGTCACACAAAGCTAAACAGACAAGCCCAAGGAATGCAGCGCTCTTGCTACTGCCATGGAAGACTTTTCAGCTTCCTTTTTGCAGGAAACATTTCTTCACTGTGCTGAGGTTATCTACAAACCTGGCTGTTGGATTCCAAGTCAAGGCTAATCTGAACCGTTGTAGCTCTTTAGGATTGGTGCAGAGCAAGCTCACTTTCCAGGATTTCCCTACAAATCACTTTTGAGGCGTTTTCCTCAATTTTAGAGCTCTGCTTCCCATTTACTATTTTGGACAGGTTTAGACAGGCACCACTGTCCCATTTCCCTGCTAGTTTAGTTCTGCTGCCTGATCTCGCTGCCATTCTTGAACATAGAGTCATTTTATACATGTTTTTAAAGCCACTACTAAAGCTGTGAGGATGGGGACCGAACTGAGCAGTTCCTGCAGCCCCCAGCCTCGATGTTTTTAGGTTACTGAAACCCAATGAATGTGTTTGTACATTAAAAACCCAATGGTAACGCGTAGCTGAGGAGCTGCTAGGTCAGTGTGGTGGAGCTGTCTGAAGCTCCCATTGCCAGGCGGCTGCTGTGAATGCTGATGGTAAATCCTCCCTCCAGGCCAGTGTGCGTGGGGTGGCTGCAGTCCCATCCAGAATTGAAGGCATGGAAGCCAAGGCAGGTTGGTTTGACCTTCACCCCCTGCCACATTCCTACTTGCGGACTCCAATGAAGCAGTTCCCTCTTTTTAGAAGGCTGTTAATCACAAGTGACTGATCCTTCTCAAACCAGGTTGCACTGAGACATCTCTCTCACACAGTTCCTGCTGTGACTTTCACAGGGCCAGCTCAGAGCATAAGAATCAAAAGAGCTTTTCCCTCCCCTGTAAAAATACCACCTAGGATGAATGTGTAATTCCTTGTAGTAAACCGACTGCAGGGAAGTGCCTGTCGTTGTCTAAAGCAGGGCTTTTCTTAGGGCTGGCTCCTGTGTAATTAGCAATTACTACAGAGTGGAACTGTTCCTCACTAGGTGACCGAGTTGTTTACACACAGGGTGACTTCACTTCCTTCAGCTCTTAGCTCAAGGCAGTGTATTGCAGCCCCTGTTATCAGAGCCCATTAGACAGAAATAGCTCAGGATCCAGTCCTCAGAAGCATCCCCAGCACACAGCGTGGCCTCTTTGCTTGATAAATACCTCTGCAGCCTGACAGCAGAAGCATTGCTGGGCTCTGCAGCCTTTTGTGCCTGTTCTGCTGAACGCTGACAGCAAAACAATTCCAAACTCGGAAAGGTGCCTGTGGAAAACCAACCCTCAACCCTCACCTGAAGCGGCAAAGATCCTGAAGTGTTTTTTGTCTCTTTCCAATCACCGTGCATGGAACACTAAACATTGATGTAGAGTCCTTCTGCGTAACACCAAACCTCACCTGTTTGAATGAAGCGCAGCAGGAGGAAGCCATGCAGCAGTCAGTGTGAGGGAGGAGGATGCTGCAGGAGGCAGCACGGGTTTGACTCTTTGCTCCATCTCGTTTCAAGATGCCTTCAACATCACCAAACCATCCTGGTAATTTAAGTGTTGTTTCCAGAACCAGTTCATCGTTAATAGATGTTGAATTTGTTTTGATGCCTTCATAAATTATTGTAATATTACTGAACAACATGTGTGACGGGAGGTTTTTTAACCCTTCTTTCCAGTGTATCACTACTGCCCCCAGAACAGGTCCCTCAACAACAGCCATGCCAAGAGACTGACCTTGGGAGGCAGTAAGCTGTGCCATTGTCCTCTGCTTCTCCCAGGGAAGGAGCTGGACTCCCTGAACTACACTGGGACTGAACAAAAGCACATCCTAACTCTCCTGCTCCTGGCCGCAGCCCTTTAGTGCCTCCAGGGACCAGCATTGACTGGCATGAAAAGCAAACCCAGGGGGTAAATAAAGCTATATTTAACAAGTCTCAGCTCCTGATTCAGCATGCTGCACAGCTCAGCACTGCTGGGGCACCTGCTGCTCCCTGTGTCCTGCCACACCAACAGCAGTGCAGGATTCCAGGTACCAGATGTACCAAAACTCCCCACCATCATCTCCCCCGTTCCTCCTACCCAAATCCTCTCTGCTGCTGCTCCCTAAACCCAACACTAAGTGCAAACAAACTCTGGAATGTGAATTTATTTGGCAGTCCAGGGGCAGGAATGTGTTGCACAGGACTGTTGGGGATAACCAGAGAGAAGCCCCTAGGGGCAAACTGCGAGGTGGAACTACACAGTCACTCCATTATTCTGCTCCACTCAGGAAAAACAAAAGTAGTGAAGGCAAAGCTAATGAAAAGAAACTCATGCTCTTAGTATGGGCCTCCTGCTGATTTCCCACTTGCAGATGTAAGACATGACTGACAGACCCACTGTTGCAATAGGTAGCAAAAAGCAGCTGGGGTTGAAGTCTCTGCACGCTGTGAGCACACACATAACTTCTTGAAGCCCTGGTCAGAGCAGCCTGAGCCTCCTGCTCCACCAGGACACGTGGTTCACACAGAGAAATCAGGAGGTACTTTCGTAGCTATAAAGAGATTTATTTGGGGGTGGGACTCTGCACTACTCGAAGCCAGGCTCTAAGCTGGCTCTCGGGATCTAGGGCGCACTCTTCTTTGGACAATAAAGTTCAAGTCGCACTCACTGCCCTATTCTTCAAAAGGAATGATGATGATGATGACAAAAGAACCACTATGACCTAAACGCATTAGTTTCAGCTGAGGCCGTCTTCCATCAGAAACCATAGGATCTGATACACCACAGTCCTCCCTGGGGCTGGTCGGGAGTAGCTCAGTGCTCTGTATAACTGGAACTGCTGGGTTTGGTTTTGTATCAAAAAAGCAGAACAAAAAGAAGAGAGTTGAGCTGCAGCTCTCACCCACTGCAGCAGCGGCGGCTCCGCTCACCCAGAGTCTGCCTCTTCCCTTGGGAAACATGGAATACAAAATGAACCCCCAGCCCAACACATCCCCAGTGCCACGCTGGTTCAGAGGAGACGTTCCTCCTGAGGGCTGGGGGTCACTCCTTGGTGTCCTGCTCCTCTCCCTCCTGGGCACCGTCCTCGCTGGTCTCCTTCTCCTCTTTGCTGCGCTTGTTCTTTTTGTGCTTGTGGCGCCGGTGACTCTCGCCCTCCTCGCTCTCGTGTTGCTTCCTGGGGTGGGAAGAAAGGGGAGAGGGAGGTCGCAGCAGAGCCTGCAGTGGCCAGAGACACCCACGCTGACTGCTGCTGTAATGTAGAACTGGAGATACGAGAGGTGCCCAGGGCATTGCGGTGCCACTGCAGGGGTTACGTGGCTGGAGTGAGGGCAGGTGATGCAAACACTGGAGCTGGGTGCTCTACACCACACAGGGTGGGCAGCACAGACAGGCTGCTGCCAAGATTCAGTCTGGGGTGGTTTTTATAAGGAGCTTCTGTGTCCTTACAGCTCCTGAGGGAGCTCAAACAACTCTGGCACATTTAAAGCTTCAATGTGAAGCACTGAGACTGCTGAGAGAAAGAAGAGTCCTAAATCTGAGGTGTTTGAAACTTCTGCTCCTCTGAACATCTTGGGTAATTCCAACTGGTTTGTGTTGGAAGGGACCTTAAAGCTCATCCAGCTCCAACCCCTGCCACGGGCAGAGACACCTTCCACTAGAGCAGCTTGCTCCAAGCCCCTGTGTCCAACCTGGCCTTGAACACTGCCAGGGATGGGGCAACCACAGCTTCTCTGGGCACCCTGTGCCAGCGCCTCAGCACCCTCACAGGGCAGAACTTCTGCCTAAGAGCTCATCTCAGTCTCCCCTCTGGCAGGTTAAAGCCATTCCCCTTGTCCTGTCCCTATAGGCCCTTGCCCAAAGCCCCTCTCCAGGTTTCCTGCAGCCCCTTTAGGCACTGGAGCTGCTCTAAGGTCTCCCCTTAAGGAGCCTTCTTGTCCCCAGGCTGACCCAGCCCAGCTCTCTCAGCCTGGCTCCAGAGCAGAGCTGCTCCAGCCCCTGCAGCGTCTCCATGGTCTCCTCTGGACTTGCTAAATCCCTGGACTAGAGGCAAGAGAAGGGTCAATGCAGGTAGACAGAGGTTTCCTAATGGGAAGTAGATCCTGTGTCTACCTCTGCTTACTCATAAATGACCTGGCACTTCACTGTCTTCATGCTTTAGAACTCCTCTGTTCTTCACGCAGAGCTACTGCCTGACAACATCCCCACACTGAGATCAGCCTCCAGCTCCCCTCAGGAAGCAGGAAGTGGGAGCTCTGGTTTTGCTCACTCTGGTTCTTGGCACCTCCTGAGAGAAGATTTTCTGCTGCTTGCCTCTCACAGATGCGCTGTTTCTCCTCACAGCCTGCAAACCACATGAGCTCTCCTGAGCTGACCATGGCATGGAGGGGCAGGATGAAAACGCAGCACAGAGTACAGGAAAAGCAGATAAATGTATCACAGGGTAAGTGACCACAGGACAGACGGTGCCGCACGAGTGGGGACACCATCAGGTGTAGACCAGTTCTTGTCACAGCTGGAATACCAGTTCAGCAGCAGACACGTAACTGGCGGAGCCACTGTAGCCCTGCCTGGAAAGCTCCTGCCTGAAGTGATTTTCTGCCTTGTTTAATGAATGGCTTCAGAGCCATTAAAGGGAAGAAAAAAGTACCACAAAAGGCTGGTGCCTCTCCCCAGCACATCCTCAGCCACCAGTGGACAGTGGTTTATGCCTGAGCAATGAAACTGTCCATTAATACTGGAACAAGTGTCAGGGATTTCCTTCAGGCAAACTGCAACAAAACCCTTTCATCTTCCTGCCAGTGCCTTCCCCAGGCTCAGATCTCAAAGCACTTCAAGCAGGGATCCAATACACACTCCAAGTGGCCATAAACAAATATTCATCCATTTGCTGTAGCTACAAACGCTTCCCATCCTATCCCTTTGAACAAGATAGGGAGCATCTGTGTGTGGTCTGAGGAGCCCAGGCAGTCGCCTCACTCCCACCTTAGGCAGTGGCCCAGTCCTGTAAATGGATCTCTCGAGCAGATTCTGACCCCACTTTGTGAGCTCCATCCTGCTCATGCAGTCAGGTATCTAAGCTCGACTTCAGTTCTGAGTGGAGGAAGTGGAGAAATAACCCTTCAAGCTATTGGCTTGTTAGTCTGGTATCAGCTCAGCTTCCACTTGTTTTCTATTCAACTTTGATCATGGGCCTGGCCTTTCTTCCCATCCCTTTGTTTCCAGCCCTTCAGCAATCAATCCTTTCTTGAAATCTTATTCATCTCCTTCAGGGCGAGAGCAGCCTTTTACCTCCAGCCATTATGTAGGAGTTTTTCTGATACCCATTTCAAAACAAGGGTAATTACCTACAGAGCTGACAGAATTTCATCTAGAAGGAAGTAAGCTGAAGCACAAAAAACCAAAGAGCAAGTCAGCTCAAGTCACCACCAGGATGTAAACTGACACAGCAGCAGCATCGCCATAGGCCAGGGGCCAGGCCTGCTACTTTGCTAGAACAACACTCACAGGAAGAGCACCTGGAGCAAATACATTCACTCAAGGAAAGCTGGGATTTTAGGACATCCTGCTCTGCTCCAAGTGATCTTTGTCCAGATCATCACTATTGGAAGCACTGGGCACAGAGCTCTGACAGTGCAGAGCTCAGCCTCCTGCTCCAAGAGGACACTTCAGATTCCAGGCTGAAGCAAGCTCTTCTTTTCTGCACAAGAACACATTGACACCTACAGCTGATGCTTCTGTTACGGTTTTACATTTACTTTGTGTGTACTCTCTTAACAGCAGGCACTAAGCTGCTCTGATGTGATGCTCAGCACAGGTTAACCTCTCCTCTGCCCACCAGTGCTGCAATTTTGCTGGCAGTGACTCAACACCCTGCCAGCTGCCTTAGTGAAGCACCAAGGACCCCTCTCCCTGTACAGACAGCCCTGTCACCCGCCCAAGAGCACTTCCTCCTGCCTGGGCACCACGTCTCAGGAAGCCAGCGAGACGCAGGGTGACAGATCACCCCAGATCCCCAAGCTTCCTGCCCGCAGCCCCGGCGTGCTCCCGTCAGCAGCACAGTCCAACCCTAAGCCAAGTTCTTACCGTCTCGAGGACTTATGCTTGCTGCTCTCGTCCTTGTCGCGGTGCCGGCGCTCCCGGTGCCGGTCCTCCCGCTCCCTGCTGCGGTCTCGGCTCCGGCGGTAGTCGCGCTCAAAGTCGTAGCTGCGCTCCCGGCTGTAGTAGCGGTACCGCTCGTCGTCGCTTGGGGAGAGAGGGGAGAAGTGAGGTGGGGAACAGAGCCCTCGTGCAACTGAGCATCAGGAGCCGTGTCCCCAGCACTGCAGAGCCCACCCTCAGCAACTACCGTCACCGCTCACTCCTGTCACCTCTTACTCCATCGAGAGGCTGAGGTGTTCGTGAGGCTCCTGAATAAACCTGTGATAATGATCATCTGCTGCTGCTGCTGCTTGAATCCAAGCTGCAGTCCCAGCCCTGCCTCTAACCACAGTGAAGTAACGTTCCCCATCTGCCTATTACACAGCTCTTAAGCCCCAACAATAACTATTATCACAGCTTTCCCCCAGCCTCTCAAGGCAAAGGGTTTACAAAATCTCTCCTCTGGATTTGCCAAGAGGGTACCTCAGCAGCACCTGGCCAATCCCTCAGGCATTCTGCCCTCACAATCCTTCTGGAATACGCCCAAGACCTCCAGCTACCTTGCTCCAAACCAACAGCAAGATGCTCTTCTTCCCACCCTGCCTCCCCTGGTGCTGGATTTTACCTCACAACACTGCTGTCCCAGATAACCTGCAGCTCTTTTGTGTCAAAGGGATGATTTTCTTCCCCATGAGTTCAAAAACTTCAATTGTGAGTGCAGCTGACATATCTTTCTGCCTGTATCTGCTCAAAGCACCTCACTTGTTCAATCCATGTACACAGGGGCATGATGTACCCTAAACTCAGGTTTACACTCACTACACCTCACAGTCCCTATTCAGCTTCTGAAAGCCAAAATCTAAAGGGTTAAGTCCCACTACAGGAAGCAACATTCAGACTCTGAGAGAAAGGAAGCAGACTCCCTAACGCTCCTGGAAACAAAGAAATTCCAGCATCATCCAAGAGAGCTCCAAAGGACTCTGGGGAGGATGGCTGCTCACCCTGCCCTGGCAGGCATGAGCTAAGAGGTCAGCGTGCTGGAAACCACCCAGCAATGCTAACAATGTGCTCAGGGGTGCTCATCACAGGGGGAGCCTGTGCAGGAAGTGTGGGGCTCGGAGCAATTCAAACTGCAGCAGGTTTGTCTCCTGTCCTGTTCTGTTCTCCCCCTTCCACACACAAGTTTGTGAGTTAAAACAAACGGGCTTTAGGTGAAGGTTGTCCTATTTGCTCACCCCCGGGGCTGAGAAGCTCCAGGCAGGCAGCACCCCTCTGCTAGGAATGCACATTCTGATCATGTTTTGAATGACTACAGGTATTCCTGAGCCTGAAGCCTGCAAAACACTGACTCTGCCTGTGACAGAACAGGAAAGCGATGGGTTTAGAAAGCATCTTTTCAGGGTACCCTTCACTTTAGCTTCTCCAGATCAACACTGGGAGACTGAAAGCCAGCAGGGTGGCTGTCTCCAACACTGCTTGCAGAAAGGCCTGGGTGAAGATTCAGGTTTCACAGCTCACTCCTGGGGGATGGCACTCCTTGCCCTGAAAGCCTCTCTAGGAGAGTCCAGCAAAGCCCGGGTGCCTTGTCCTTTCATTGACAGGTACACTTAGGAGACAAGAAGCAGCAGCTTCTATGGCCGATGGTTCACACTGAGCTGTGAAACACCCAGTGCACAGAGAAGGGCTATTTCATTTACTGGCCTCACATTACAGGTGCGGAAGCAAGTGTAACTGGTTCTGCTGGATTCAAACAAAAACAGCCACAGGAAATCAGCCAGGGCCACCGGCTCCCAGTTTGTCCTGTGGTTATTGATCCAACATATCGCTTCCCAACTTAAACTGCTACAGCCATAACCCCATCCCTTGACCAAGCACCGTGTGCTCGAGGGCAAGGCCAGAGCTCCCTGCTGGGACCTGTGAGGAGAAGCTGCTGGATTACAGCACTCACTTGTTGTATTCACTCGTGGTCGGGGTGCGGTCTCGGTCTCTCTCCCGTTCCCGTTCCCTTTCCCGTTCTCGCTCCCGCTCCCTCTCGCGCCTTGAGCCTGAGTATTCCCAATGGCTGCTGCTGGAACTGCTTGTGCCCTTGTCCACCGTTGTCACCCAGGGCGTGTGGGATGTGGAGATGGGTGGGTAGCTGATGAAACCTGAATCTGCACCAAGAGAGCAGAATCCTTATTTCAGCATCCTCCCTATCCCTCCCATTCCAGAGACACCCTCTGGAGATACAGCTGAATCCAAGGAGACAACAACCCAGCTCCCTCTTGTCCTCACTCCCCTTTTTACTTCCAGCAGTTTACCCAGGATGTGTGAACACCCATTCCCTGAGGAAGATACAAGCAAGACCTGCAAAACCTCCTCAGCCCCTTACCCTGCACATTCCTGCAAGGGCTGTGCGCTCCCCTAGCTCCTGCCCAACAGAGTCCTGCTACAGAGGACACGCTATAAAGCCTCCATGGAGGAGAGCTTAAATCCAGCCCTCCCAGACATCCTGGCTTGGCAGCAGAGGTGCCTCTCCCACTGCTGAGCCGGCCGATTCCGTCACCCTTGGCTCCTGGCCATCCTTGCAAGGCCTCACTTCTCACCCGGCACCTTCTTGCCTGAGGGGGCACCTGGGGAGGGCTGGGACACCATCTGCTAATGAAGGATGAAGCCCGATGAGCCCACAGCCACCAGCACTGGTGCAAAGGAGACAGCCTGGTGCTGCCTGTGACTCCTCAGCACAGCGAGGAGGTGCTGCTCCAAGCGGTGGTCACTAAGGAAGTGGGAGAGAGCATGGGCATTCCCGACAGCGCTGCAACAGGGGAGGAAATCTGCTGGAATTCTGGCACTGCCTCTTCCATTACAAAAGGTGACAGAAGCCTGCCTGCGCCTGCAGACAAGGAAGAGGATACAGAGGGGGAGGAGGGCATTCAAAGCTCAGAGAGGAGATGCAGAGGTGATGGCTGTGCTTGTGGTGAGGGAAGAGGCAGAGAGCGTGAGCAAGTACCTGTGCAAACAAGCACAAGAGCACATTGCTGAGGCACATGGGGAAGCTCTTCTTGTATCTACAGTGAAGAGTGATCCGAGGCTCAGCACTCAACCACAAAACTGCATTCAGCATTGCTGCAGAGCATGCAGCTTTCCAAACACTTCATGCTGTGGTCACACTCAGGGTGTGCTTCTGGTGAGGGGGATAGTCTGGGGCACAAGTCCTAAGGTTAAAGCATCCATGATGTCCACCAGCTTAAGACAAGCCTGAACTACCGAACACCAGAGAACAGAGGTATTTTCAGTGCTCACCTGCAGAGTTGTAGCCAAACGGAGGTGGCTGCCTGTTGTTGTAGCTGGCTGGCTGGCTTTGGAGAGAGAAAAAGATGTGAGTAACTAACACCAGTGACCCACTGCAGGTGTGTCTGTGCTGCAAGTGTACCCCATGTTTTCCTGAAGGTCTGTGGGACACCCTCAGGGGAAACCCACGGTGTCATTCTGCACTGCAACCATTAAAAATACAGAGGTGCAGCTGCTTTGCCACAGCTTCTAACTCAGTTGCTTGATGGGCTTTACCCATCCCTTGTCAATCAGGCAGCCCTTCAGCAAATAACAGTGCTTACAAGGTACCTGAGGAATCTTCAGGGAGAACATCTACCACCCACTCTGCACTAGACCTAAGCTCACACCTAGATTTTATTGCTTCCTTTCCATGTCACGAGCATGACAAATGAAGGTGAACGCACAGAGAATTCGCTACGGACTCTGCTCTCACCTCTGCCCCAATCCAAGACTCGACTGAGAATCCCCAGGCCTGATTTTAGACCTGCCCACCTCCCTTTCTCCCTGTGGAGGAGCTGTGCCCATGGCTCAGCCCAGGTGTGGTCTTACCCATCCAAGGTTGGAATGAGGAGAGCTGGTGGTGGTGCCAGAGGAGGTGGGAACAACCCTAGACAGAGAAGCAGAAGTCATCACAGAGACCTCACAGCTTGCCGTGAGGAACAAGAGACCTCATTGCCAGTTACAGTTAAAAGCAGTTTAAAGCACCCTTTTACTCTAAACAAAGCTTTTTGAAGTGAAATAGTTTTCCTTCAGGGTTGTATCTCCTACCAACATTAAAACCCTACAGCTATGTTGGCTCTGTGGGGGTATGGAGAGAAAAGTAAAAGAAGAATTACCCTCTGTTTTGGCTTACTCATCTTAAGCACAAGATTCATGAAAGAGTAAAGATTAACCCTGACAGCCCTGGGCAAGACAGAGACTTCTGGTTCTTGGGATGGAGACACTGCAACTACAGCAGAAGTTTTATTGCTCCATTGGCTAAAATGGGTAGCTTTGTCTCTCACAAGGCAAGTAACAGAGTTCACCTGGGTTGGGCTGGTTTTGAAGAAAGCCAATTTTCTGAACACACATACACACACACACACACGCACTCACAGACCCTGAGAAGACACAGCCCCAGTGATGTAGAGGTGTCTGCAAGGGCTGGCACTTTAAAAACAGGCCCAATGTCACACACATGAAGAGCTGTTCATCACAAGGCAGTATCTTCAAGAAAGCACAATTAAGCATAAGCTTATGAAGGCCACTTCCAGAAGTGGCTTAAGCCTTGGAAGCCCAAGTCCTCAACCTTGGGCAGTCTGGAATTGAGAAGCATTTGCTGACTGCTCCTAAACTTCTAAAACTTGTACCTGTCACTATAAGCAACCATCACTTCTATAGGCAGTTACCAATGCCAGCAAGAACAGACCAACCAACCACCCACTGGCCTGGCTTTGCATAAGAATTCCTCTGTTTATTATTAAACAAGAAAAGAAGAGGAAATTGTACTGCTACAAAGGACAGGAGCCATTTACTGAGGGCAGTCACTGAAGCCAGAAGCTCCAGGTTCTTTTTCAAGTCAATGGAGCCTGAGCTAGCACTGTCAATGAAACCATGTCAACGAAATTCATCACCTCTTACTGTGAACACTAAAATGGGTCAGGAGAACCCCTTCCTACAAGGGTCTCACTGCAAAAAGAAGTGACCTCTAGCCCAGTTACAGCTGGAAACAAGGTGGGGGACATGTCTCACTCTTAGATGCTTCAGTTTTTCCCCTCCTTTTCCCAAGATCTTCTGATAAAATGCAATGCCTGAAGCATTTCTAACCCATCTGCTCACCAAGCATAAGCACTTCAAAGTGCTACTGTTAGAACACCTAATTCTAATGGAGGTGGATCATCCTCATAACCATAATTAGCAGGTATCCTCCCTCAACTCCCTTTCCAAGCCCTCACCTCAAGTGGAAGTTCCCTGCCACAGCCTGGTCATTCTGTCCACCTCACCCCTCCCAAACAACTTTACTCTAAATGCACTTGACTAGCAACATCTAGACCAGTTTGCATCCAGTTTCACTACAATACAGTTCCTCTAAATCCAATCTTACTATGAGCAGGTTCCTTCTAGTACAGCAATGAAAACCAGCTCTGCAATGTCACTGTACACTGAGAGGAGTCTGGAAAGTGATGATTTAACAAACAGGAATTTTCTGAGGGACAGCACAGCCCGTGTAGGTTTTCCATATTTCCATTTGGGAAGCCCAGGGCAGAACATGAATACAAAAGCATGGACACAAAAGCTGTGAATCAAGCCCAACGTGTCTGACACACAGTGAGGACGAGCACAGCAGGTCCAAAGTGCTTTGGGTGCAGACCTTTTGCAAATACATGAATCAAGTAAAGAAGGGAGACTGAGATGAGCTCTTAGGCAGAAGTTCTTCTGTGTGAGGGTGCTGAGGCGCTGGCACAGGGTGCCCAGAGAAGCTGTGGCTGACCCATCCCTGGCAGTGTTCAAGGCCAGGTTGGACACAGGGGCTTGGAGCAAGCTGCTCTAGTGGAAGGTGTCCCTGCCTGTGGCAGGAGGCTGGAACTGGGTGAGCTTTAAGGTCCCTTCGAGCCCAAACCATTCTCTGGTTCTATGATAAGCACACAGTACACCAAGGCAGTGCCCTGATAACATATCCAACAGTCACCATCAGCCTTGGATTTTCAGATCTATGGCATCTGCTCAGAACCATCACTCTGAAGGTGTGCTACACAAACAGCTAAATTTGTTTTCCCGGGAGTAGGCAAAACTTCCAGTTGAAAGAAATTACAGCCAGAGGAAACTCAGTTTGACAGCAGCTCCGAATTAGTGGGAACCTTTACTTATGCACAAGACTGGCTGTTACATTTCTCTATTAGTATTCACCATCTCTGCTGCACAGCAGGGAGCAAAGGCTCTGATGGAAATAACATTTATTCTGCTCAGTCTCACGCTCCAAATTCCTCCACAAAAGCACCAATCTGTCACTCAAACTTTTGCTGTGCAAATGTCATAACAAGAACTAAACCATTTCAGATCTCAGTAAGTGGCTTCAGTGCCATCTGAAGTTCTCCATTTCACTTTCTAGATTGGTCTTCAGAGACACACTGAGCAAGTGTTAAGAAGTCCTACAGATCATTATTTAGTTACAGAATACAAGATAAGCTGCTCAAGTTCAATTCTGCACTGGAGTTTATTAGCCTTAAACTAACTGTGCTCTAAAATGAGTCTTGGTGTCATCCCAGCTCGTGTTTCTTAATCTAATGCTCAGAGCCATCTGGGTGCTCAACATCACTGCTGTTATCAAGAGCAAATCAGCACCTACCTGGAATAGGCCCCGGTGGTGGAAGACCTATGGAAACAAAGAAGCAAAACCAATGAGAACCGCAGGTAAAGCATGTCATCACTCTCCCTCAAACTAAACTTAAAAGCACTCTTTGGAATAAAATTCACATATCTGAGCAAACAGACCAGCAGAAAAAAGGGTGCTATTAAGCAGTAATTGGCCATTAGCTGCCACTTTTTAAGTATTTAAAGGCAAATGTTAAGATAGGTTGACAGAGACACTGAACAAAGACTGGACAGGTCTAAGGACCTGTTACTTGACTGCTCAACTGTCCTATAGCATTTAACAATTAACCCTTTGCTTTGCTCCAAGCCTGGGATGCAGCCTCAGACTGCCGTATGAACATGTACCTGGAGGATGCAGGGGAGGTGGAACAGAAGTAACTGGTGGAGGAGGGTGGAGGAAGTGTGGTGGAGGTGGCCCAGCCAGTGGAGGAGGTGGTGGGCCTGCTGGTGGTGCAAACGGCTGCTGCTGAGGCGGCTGTTGGGGCTGTGATGGCTGCTGGGGCTGCTGGGGGGGTTGTGGCTTACTCCCGTGGTCTCCAAGCACCTGAGAAGGCAAAGGAATGAGCAGAGAGCGTTTAATCTTGCTCCTAGCTAGGACCTTGCTGTGCTGGCATAAAGAGAGTGTACCACCAAAACCAGCAGCACTGTGATAACCTGGGAAGACCAGGCTGTGCTATACCCAGCAGATAACATCTTTGGGGAGGAAGAAAGGTTGATCAAGGCAATCAACATGCTTAGTAAGGGATCTTCTCCTACACAGAACAGCAGAGACTAGAGTCTAGGTCAACACACAACTGTGCAAAAGACAGCTGACAGGTATGAATGCCTTTTGTTCAGAGGAACTGCCACTGATACAGGCTTCGGATTGAGAGCTGCCTTATTTGAGGGTTTTATCCCTCCTGAGGGCAGCAAGAACAGAATGGTTTGGGTGAAGCCAAATTCTGCTCTACACTGGAAGCCAGCCAAAGACTGGATTCACATCTGTCTGACAAAAGGTCACAGATGGAATGATCAATACACAGAGATACCAGAATGACCTGGAACGGGTATCCCTGCTTGCAAGTGGGAAGAACAACAACCTTTTCCCAGCAAATTCTCTCTTAAGCAAACTCTTTTTGGAGCCATTGCTGGCAAAATTCAGAGAACTGACTATGAAACAGACACAAATCCACTGTAAAAACAAAACCAGGAATCGTGTCTAGACAGGGGAGAAGTTCCACATGTGGAGCTTTTGGTGAGTTAGGAGTGGTAGGAGGAAGGTGGTTAAGAGAAGTGGCAGGAGGAAGGTGGTTAAGAGGAGTAGCAGGAGGAAGGTGGTTAAGAGAAGAGTTCTCAATACATGGTCCTCAAATGATATACATAGCATCTTCCTACCTAGAAGCCAACCAGAACATTCTGGTCATACACTGGACATGCAAGATCAGAACTGAGTCCAGTTTTAAACCCCAGGTTTTTATTTCTTACAAAGGACAATATCCAGTAACACAGGCCCACCCTAAGTCTGAAGCATGGGCTGCATCTAGTGATGCTTAGCCCATCAGTCTTAGTTACTTCAAAGTCAAAAGAAACACAAGCCCCAAGCAGAAGTTGTCCATTGCAGAACTAAAGATTCCAACCCAACAGTGAAAGGGAGTAATCTATATAAGAGCCTCCCAGCTATGGACCCCAAGAAATAATTTGGGAGAGCTGATGGGAAAAGGAATTACCATGGGATGGGAAAAGGAATTACTCTGGCATTACCATTCAGACAGGCAGGTGACTCTTAAAGAACAATCCCTAGCTCCTAGTAAGATAAAGCTTTTAACATGAAGTTAATTCAATCTGCATGCATATGCCATGATATGGTTCATATACTACCTCCTACTTTGCAGATGGCAACAGCAACAAAGGAGGTCAGGCACACACAGACATTTGTTCAGTGTTGACTAGAAGTGCAATAAAGCCAAGACATTTACCTGGATTGGGTTTTCCTCAGAGGCATGTTTATCACGGCGCCTTCCTTCTACTCTCCTGATTGTGCCAGCCTGGCCACCGATCACATCAATCGTCCCACCCAGCTTCCTGGTACAAAGCAGATGCATCTTTTTAGGCTCAAGGGCATTAGAAGGAGCAATTTTCCCTACTACTGGACAGATTCATCTTCTACTTTCTTTTCCACCAGGGAAAAATGTGCAAAAGGAGCATTCAAATTTCACAAGTCCTTGTTCACTCTTAGGGGAAGAACATTTTTGTAGGAGCTCTTTGTAAGGTCATCACAAGTTTCTGAGAGAGAGGAGCACCTGCACCTTAAGTTTAAATATCCTTCATCCTATATTTATTTGATTTGTCCAAGTACAACCTTAAGGCATTTTCCTGTAGTCAGGATAGAAAAATATCAGCACTTTTCCAAGTTAGCAGAATTTTTTGTATCACTAAGAAATTCAGCCAAAGTGGATATAAGAATTCTGGCTGGTTGGAGAGAGGGAATTTTCTCACTGAAATCTACTCACTTTGAGGGAAAAAAACCTGAATCAAACAACTCATTGCTAATCCCATGGTTCTGATTCTGCTGTGGTTTACAAAGATAATTGACCTGATCCTGACCAAAAGGTCTGCCACAGGAGCAGAATCTTGTGTGTCAGTACTTTTAAAACCAGACTGCAAGTTAAAATGACAGAAACATTGTACAGTTGCAACAGCAACAGCTTGCTCTGCAGTGGTCTTTTCCAAAACTTCATGATATATACGTAACAGCTATAAAGAAATGTGACTGATTTTATGGCACTGTGAAGCGGGAAGAAATACCAAAGTGCTTAGATGCAGAAACTAAGTACAGATTTAAAGCTTATACTTGAAACATAGAGTTGTTTTCCTTCTCAGTCAAACTGGGATGTTGGAATACAAAATCATTTCCGCCAGACAGGTGTGCAAAAGATGTAATGTGAATAAAGCAACAGATGTAATGAAAATAAAGCAATAGCAACACCCAGACCTACTAAAGCTTTGCCTCTTCTGGTTTCACACAGCTTTGTTTTAACAAAGCTTTTGATAAAACCCTACCAACCTCACCAGGTCAAAGAGGCTTCCCAGAAGAGGCTGCCAGTCAAGTGACCCAAATTGTTTTGCTTTGTCCAGCCTTGTGGCTCCTCTCTCTCATTGGAGAACATAACTAATCAGCATGCACCAAGCAGCATAGCACACAGGTTAGAAACCAATAGCTCCTCTCAACAGCTGCCAAACACGTAATCCACTTCCACTTAAGGAGGCAAAGATTAACACTGTGGGAGTAAGAATAAGCCAAGTAAGCACAAGCAGCAGCAACGTGAGCCCTCAAAGCTGAGGGACTTCCCTTGGCTTTTTGACTCCCAGAGATGTCCCTTCAGATGGGAAACAGGTTTCCCTCCCTGTGCAGCAGTACACTGAGGATATCATCAAGAAGAAGTAAATGGATAGGTAGGAGCTGTACAACCGTCAGGAGAGCACTGCTCAAGACCATAGTTAATGAGTGACCGCTGTAGATTCCTGTAGAGTTTAAAAGCTTGTTTCAGGCTTGAAGAAATTCAGATATGGCCCAGGTAGATCCCAGCTACCCCTATGAAGAGCATAGTGCACCCAGGCTTTAGGTCTGCACCATCTCTTACCTATTAGGAGGAGGCCCAGCCTTCATGCGTCCTCCCACCAGAGCCAAGAAGTCTGTTTTGAATTCTGTTTTGATGATGTTGTTTTCCACTTCTTTTTCAGCATTTCCTGTTCTTCCTTGCTGAACCTGTGGAAGGCAATAGGTAACACAGGTTTAATGCCCCTACTTTCAACTAAATGTAGCATCAGAGATTAATCTACAGCAAAAGAAAAGGGCTCCCCCAGGGAATAATTACAGGGCTCTTGTGAACAAGCAGCCCATTCTGCAGTCAAGGTCGCAGATATTGCTGTAAACTGGCTGACCACTCCAGCCTCAGCCTGCTGTCCACTGTCTCCCATTGTAAGTCCAAAAGTTTAATAAGCTCACAGCCCTTTCCATTTAGTCCTTAATTCAAAACTGGAAACAGTAATATTCACTGTATGGAACAGCAAGTATGAACTCCTTGGCTGAAGTTCTGATTAACAGCTGCTGGACACCTGATGGACTCCTGCAAAGGTTGATGGCCAAAGCAGTCCCCAAACACAAAAGGCTGCCACACACCCACAACAAGTAAAACAGCCATGGATGCCCAGCATCCCTCTCTACGCTTCCCACATCCACATCTGTCTTCCAACCAAACACCCCTATAGCAGGGTAGCCCTAAAGTCAACTGGAAATTCACTCAAGTCTTGCTCTTGCAGTGGTTCAAACCTGCCAAGCAGATGGAACTGTTTGCTCCATAGAGAAAAGATTTTTAGCAGAGAGATTTCAACTTTAAAGATATATTTTTGTATTTCTCATCAATGAAAAGGAACACAGAACAGTTGAGGTATTTTCTGTTCTTACACTCTCATCTCTGTGATTACAATAAAAAGCCCCAGTTTTATTGTAGCCATATGCAGGAGTAACATGTCACCTACCGTGATCTTGTTTTCAGTGCTGATGGGAGGAGCAGGATCCAGTCCAAGCTGAAGCCGCCGCTGCTTTTCACAATATGCTTTCCATGTTTCTTCATTGAATCCATAATTAAAGTAATCAGAAAGATCAGCACCTGGCAAAGGGAGCAGAGGTTAACACAGAGATTCCAGTAGAGCTACATTGTCAAATTGTCCTTCAGCTGCTTAAATTAAGCATTAAGAAAACAGAAATCTTCCAGAGAGAAGAGCTTACTCTCTGCTTCATCCTGTTAGAAAGCCTCTGTGTGCCACAGTGGAGATGGCTGCATCTGTCAGTGGGAGGGGGAACACAGCCTGAACAGTGGCAGGACCATCTGGGAGACACAACACAGCACCTCTTCATGCTAGTAACAGTGACGATGCTTGCAACAACTTATCCACCAACTGGATTTTTTAAGATTGGTTTCTTGCAATTGTTCAAATAATTGAGTGCTGGGGAAAGCACAGAAATGATGGTTCCAGCCATCACCACCAAAATGGGATGGTGCCACAGAACCTTTTCTTGGTAGAGCTAAGTCAACAAGTTCTGCTCCTGACTGTCACTGCCTGTGCTATTTTGAGAAGAGATTCTGGGACCCACCCATGTCGTGCTATTTTGAGAAGAGATTCTAGGACTCACCCATGCCATGACACAGGGCTGAAATGGAAGTTTTTTATGGATACCTCTCAAACTACAGAATTATAGAGCAGTCAGGATCCTGCCTCTAGCATCCCAGCACTGTTATCTTACTCCTTCTAAGATTGTTGTCTTTCCTTGACAGTTCTCTGTGAAATGTTCCAATTCAGCAGGAGCACTTCTGAGTAAGAGAGGTGGCCACAAACTGCTTGCCAGGAAAACACTGATGCAGAGGAAAAAATATAGCTGCAGTTTCCCCTGTAAGGCACATCTTACAACAAGAAGCATTACAACGCATCTCCTAACCCTGCTCAGATGTCCCTCAAACATCCCCCTCACAGAGGTATTCCCAGACAGACCAATCCTAAACCAAGGAGCTGTTAGGTAACGGCTAAGCAAAACGCTTTGCCCATGCTGAGCCTGGATCCGTACAGTGAGGTTTAAGTTTATATTCTAGGCAGGCTACTCTTCCTGTTGTACCACCCAAACATGCAAATTGCACGAACACAGACTCAGCAATGTGACGTTTACATATCTATTTTATCAGCCTATATTTCAACCCTGTATCAGTTCTTCCACACTTCTTCCTCTCCTCACTTTAAAGAGATACCAACTTACTGAACAATTAACTATGAAGGATATAAACCTGAAAGGCTGTTGAGTAACAAGCTACTTACCATCAAAAGTAAACTTACAAGCCATACACCTCTGCAGACATCTTCCCTCTATTTGGACTTACATTGTTTTAAGGCTAGCTGCCTTCAGTTTGGTCCAGGGATGTCAGCATGACCATAATGATTTCCTTCCTTCATCTCTGAAGTTCCCATCATTATTTTCCCTCTAACTTAGTTTCTTCCTAGCCCCCTCTTTCTCACTTCACTCTCCATGGGAAATCCCCTGCAGAAGAAAGGCTACATTTCCTATTATGTCTGTAGTAGCCAATAATCACCAGAGTGCTTCACTGCTGGTCTGATACCATGATATGTCAATGCAGTTATTAGCACTGTTTCACACTCCGATGCCCTTCATTTCAGGTAGTCAACAGATACCAAAACCACACCACAGCCTTACAAAAGCACTACTTAGTTAGCATAGCAATATTTCTGAATGACAAATAAAGAACAGGGGTTGGTTTGAAGAATTATTTCTGCAAAGGGGCAAGTGGAATTTTAGTTTCAGTTAACATTTTAGCATAGCACATTTTCGGAGTAGCACAGGAAAAATCTGGATCTCTTCGGTTCCTTCATTTACTTTTGTACCAAATTCAAATGACAACCAGAAGTTTACTTGTAACACCCTACAGCTGTCATGCAAGAGTCACTTCTGAGGAGGTATCTCCCTAACACTAATCAGGAAGACAAAAGAGACCCTGTACATATTAAAACCCACTGTGCAAAGCACTATTTGTCTGGACACAGTCTAAATAATACTGTCCAGAAGAAGTAAGTGGGAACTGCTCACTCACTCCTACGCACCTGGGGGCAGAATCTGGGAAGAATTAGGCAATGCCACTTTTCCAAAAGAAAAGTCCTAGCCTTTCATGTCAGAGCAGCACTTCCCTTCCTTTTATTCAACTGTTTGCAGCAGCAGAATTCAACACAGACAGACAGCTTTCCTATCATGACAGGTGCTCACTGAGCTTGGCCATAGTGAGACAGAATAACCAAGGTACTGCACATGAAAAGGAGACCACACATCATCAACAGTCAAATCCTGATCCTACTCAATTGACTTTTAGGCCCAACAAATGTTATCCTATCGCTATCAGTGCAATGTTTGCTGGAAGTAGGGAATTAATAAAACAGAACATTACAAAAAATAGTTCTTCCCTTTAGGGAAGTTAAATTAATAGAGCAAATAAAACCAATTTTCAGTAGAAGCATGGCTGGCTCAGTCAGTAAATGTCACTGATAGCCTCGACAGGCACCAGAGGCTAAGCAATGGTCATTGCTACAATTTCTTTATTTCCCGGCAGCAATAAATGGACAACAATTACATGTGAAATTCAACAGAGACCACTAAAACTGTAGAAAATATTTACCAACAGAAACTGTGAAGCCCCACCTGGTTTCCTCCATGGTTTGTCTTCAAATGAATCTAAATCCACTTCGATAACAGGCAATCCATTTATGTTCCCTGCAGCATCTAAGTCAATACCTTTGGGCTGCAACTTGGCTTTGGAAAGAGAGAGAAACTGTTACTATTTTTAATGCAATGCCTTTAATCCACTCATTTGTTGAGCAAATTATTCCAGTCAAAAATAAAGCACTACTGTGAATTCATTGCTGGCTTCATAGCACGGAGGTAACCACAAGCAACTCTTTAATAACAATTACTTCAGTCACTTTAGAAATAAAGAGCCAGGGTGTACAGCACTTGCAGCTGAGCAGCAGGGAAATAATTCAACCCAAATTGGTCCTACAGACAAATGCAGTGAATTATTAGAGCATCAAATGCACCAAATTTATCCCAAATGAAAATAAATTATTTTTCTCTTCCCAAGATTTTCTCCTAACAACAGACTTTTTCAGGATCAGTCTGAAATGGATCCTGTACTAACTGGAGTCAGTAGAAATGTCTTAGGTACACAGTCTTCAAGGAGAATTAGTTCTTATTTTCTCAATCAGAAGGTAAGTCATTTGCACGAAGAAATTAATGGAAGGCAGTATGTGAAGCCCATGGAAGGCCAGTCTGACATATGAGAAAGGATGGAATCCAAGTCTTGATATACAGTATAAACTTGAACAAATGGTGGGGAAGATTTCATTTGCAGGATTACATAGAGCTGATACTGAAGGCCAGAGTCTGTTTCTTTTAGTATCTTGCACTGCAAGTACCTCCATATACTGACCACAGAGTTAAAGCTCTCCAGGCCATTTAGAATGTTTGGCTCCAGTGCAACAATATAGTTCAGAAGCATTCTGTCTTTCTACTATAAAAGTAATAATCAATGTATTTTTTTTTCTAGTTTAAATAGAATTCCAATCAGCCTGTTCAGTGATTAAATCACTGTAATTAAAGTAATTAAATCATTCCAGTGCTCCCTGCACCCTCAGACTGTCCCAGAAGTGCTTATCTCTAGGAAAAGCACTTACTATTGCTAATTTAAATAAGATGCACTAATTCTATACCCTTCCAAACAGAGACCAAGACTTGCAGCTGCTCCAGCTGTCAGTGCCAGATAAGTGAAATATTGGAAGAGGTGAAGGATAAAAACAAGAGCAATACCTGAAGCAGATGCTCCATAGCCTCTACCCGTTTTTAAGTTTAGATTCATAGGAGTTCCCCTATACGGAAAAGAATCACTACATTGGTATTTGAATTGCTTGTTTTCATACAAAGTATATTCGAGCCCTAACAACCTTCAGAAGACACTTAGTTCACTTGGGTTTATCATGCATTTAGTACTAGGTCTCAACACGTTAAAAGTGAAATTTATTTTCCACTTAAGTTTCTCTAAGCCTACAGAAACCAGCAAATATATTTACTGACGGACCAGAAAACACAAGAGGATTGTCTTGAACGTGAAAGGGAAAGATTATTTCTAAGAGTTGCAGTTTCCATTCTGTCCAGGAATGTAGTTAGTGTTTAAGTGAACAGCACGGAAATCACAGCTGCACACAGATCACAGAATGAGGAGAGAAAGACAGAGGCAGCAGATTTCAAAAGGGATGTCTGCAAAATCTAGTGAACTGTTAAGAGATGGAGCACTGCTATTGACAGCAACCTATCAGGCTGAAACCACTGCTCCAAGAGAAGGAAATTATCAATAAAGTGGAAAAGTGAGAATATGCTGCAAAGCACATGTAAGCCATTCCCTCAAGAGGAAGGCTGCTAGCAGCAAGCAAAAGTGCTGTCCTATTATTTTTATTCAATGCAAGTGAGGTAGAATTTTAAGTCAGTGACATAATTTTACTGGTTCACAAATCCAGCCTCACCATTTCTGAAGTATGAAAAATCAGACAGCTGAAAACCAGTAACCTCACAGTTTATGCAAATTCTTATCAAGGCAGATTCGGGTTCTTGACCTTTTCACAGAGGAGGAGTTAATTGCAACATCCCACTTGTGATTTCGCCCAATAAAGCATAGTAATTTTTCAGTTAATTTTCCAACAGCAGACCCACGAATTATCATTCCTATTTTACAGCTGGATTCTCCAGCCAGCAGTTGCAGGACAGAGCTGTCCACCAGCTTCTAACCCCATTCTGTTGTCTTAGCAGTTACTCATATATATCCCTGGAGACAGATCAGGTCTCATCCCCACTTTCAATCCCAATCAATACACTAGAGCTACCTCAGATCAAACCCCAACACCATTATCAGCCACACGTACATGTATGATGGTGCTCCCGTTTTAATATTGCCAATAGTAACCTTCACGTCATCATCATCACTGTCACTATCGCTGTCATCTTCTTCATCTTCACCACTTGGAAGGGCCTAGCAACAATGAAAGCATACAGAAGCTCATCAAAACAGAATACTGATCAATTCCCTGGGACAGTAAAACAAATCTTGCAAAGCTCCTATGACGAAGGTCCCTTAGAAAGAATGATTCTGACATAAAGACATAAATTTCTATTGCACTCTGAGGTTATACAAAGTTGTCTCTGGAGGCAAAACCCAAAGAAAGAGGCAGTGGAAGAGCAAGCCTCTTCCTATCCTTTCAACTCAGAGCCACTAGAACGCATTTTGAAAGGTCTGAGCCTGAATCAAAACTGATTCCCAGCACTTTGGGCTTTCTATCCCAGTGTTTCCCATAGTTACTGACCCTCAAGAAGTCATACTGAATATTGAGCTGAAGGTAAAACCATATTCTGCTTTTCCGGCCAGCCTGCAGCACCTCATCTGCCTCTTCAGTGGACACAAGCAGTACTTGGATGAGGGTTCACTGCCCACTACATAAAGTAGGCTGAGAAGAGAAGCTTGTTGCCGTAGTTAGCATTGGGAACTATCAGTGCACTCCTACAGTACAAATGTAATGTATTAGGCAGTACCAACATCTTTACACTTACATCATTCTATCCACGGGCATTAAGAAGCACAAAAATAACTGTGTCTACCACTTGCAGTGGAACACTTACATGTTGTGAGATCTCTCGGTCTTCATTGCTGACAGGCCGGTTCTCCTGAGGAGCATCTTGCAATGGATGGGAAGACTCTGTGTGTCTGGTAAATGTGACAGACAGGAGAAAGTACGTAAGACCAATCTAGAGTTTCACCTACAAACATTTCTAAAGCATTCATCCAGATGACTTTATTCATGTAGTGTGTTTATTCTGCTGGCAGCCAGCTCAACTGTATGACAAAAAAATTAATCATCCTTGCTTGGCTTTGCGTTTTGTTGAAAAGAATCAGTTTAGTGCTTCCCAAAAGCCTGACAAACAGCATGGGCTGCCTAGCCAAACACCACTTTGTGGCTAATACATAAGTAGCAGCTGGAATAGCTTTCAGCTTTGGTTTGGCACAATCATAGAATGGTTTGGATTGGAAGAGACCTTGAAGCTCATCTAGTTCAACCTCCCTGCCATGGGCAGGAACACCCTCCACTAGATCACGTTGCTCCAAGCCCCGTCCAATCTGGCCTTGGGAACATAATAAGCAAAACTTCACCTTGTCCTTAATGATGCTAATAATTGTACATATATTTACTAAGCAGCAAAGGCATCTGTCCTGTAGAAATTAAGGAAAAAGCGGTTTTAGCGTTCTACAAATAGCTTACATTAATGAGTAGTTACGTTTCAAAGAAGACAGGTAATTATCCACCCAATCTTCCCACTCATTACAAATTAGTCCTAATGCAACAATGGTCAGGTTGAGATTTACGTCCAATTAAAGTCTGTATAAATGTTAACACTGTTTATTGCATTAGCCAAGCAAGAAAGTCAAACTGGTATTCCAGAAACGAGTATGCCATGTTAAAACACTGAAACACAAAGAGACATCATTTTTCTCTAATGTCATAAGTAAAACCTAGCAGAACGTCAATATAATTCCAGCTTTTCCAAAGAGACCATCAGAACAGCCCACGCCCAGGAAACCCAATTCCCCACCAGCACTTTCTGGAGACATTGCTATTGATTTAAAAACCCTATGTCACCTACTAAACATATAGAAGATTATCTTCAAAAAGAAACATATGTAACTCCTGACAGAATCTGAACACTGTTCAGATTAAAGCCATTTCAGAGGCGGCAGGGAAAGAGACACCAAACAAGTAAGCAGAAAGATCACACTGGTGCAACTCAGAAAGCAGTTACTGAGCATAAAAAGAACAAACAGTGTGAGCAGTTACTGAAGCGCCCCTATTAGAAAAGCCCCATATATAAAGAAATACAACAATCAAGCAAGGATCAGAAACAATGGGTGAAGGTTGGGCAGCTAACCAAGGAAGCACAGGTCCCAATGTCCCCAGGTTCCTGAGGTGATAACTGAAGACACACTAAGTTATTAACAGGAGCCAAGGTGTCTAAGGGAAAACCATCCTCTAAAAGTATTCCAAAGCTGCAGACATAAGCTATTACACAGGGGTCAGAAGATGTAGCACTGGAGAAAACTTCCCAGGTGGCTCCAAAACCCTTTGCATTTTGTTTGCCAAATCCAAGCAACCCATAACATTGACCTCCTCAACCCCAGGAATTTTCTTTAGAATCCCAGATGACTGAATTAAGGCAGAGTGACAAGAATTACCTTCAAGTCACATGAAGTATCTGTGGGTGTACATTAAAATGTATGAACTGGAGTTCAAATAAACATTTGCTAAGTCTTTCCCTAACCTGTTTGCTTCCCAGGAATGAGCAATCTGACACATCCACAGCCATCAGCTGCATGAAAAAAATGTCACAGCTATTTCATTTCCCCAGAACACCAACTTAACCCTGTACGCTGCTGACATAACAGCATCCTGCACAGGCTGCCCGTATTTAATGCATCCTTTAGGCTAAGGAATGTCAACGGAGAGAAACAAATACTCCAGGCACGCCAGCAACGTATCTCTGGAGCTGCAGCCATGGACAATATAGCAAACAAAGAGTCATTTTTCTTAAAACACCCCACAGCTCTTCATTTAGGAAGATTCTCATGCAACAAAGAAGGGGAAAAAAGAGGGAAAGAAAAAGAGCACTGGCACAAGCACTAACAGTTTTTCTTCACCCATCTTGCAGTTACTGGATATTCAATTTTTAATCCTGCCGATAAAGTAAAATTACATTCAGATAAAAGTGACAGCAATAGATCTATGCAAGCTAGCAGTAAATTTCTAAGCTAAAAGTCGTTCCTTCTCACAAAGCCCATTTGATGTTTTAGGTACCAATTTACTGTGTTTTTCGGTTTAGATACTTACACCAGAAGTAGGACATTATCCATTACAACCTCAGAAACTCCAGATACTGAATTCAAAATGACCTTAAATGACAATAAACAAACTGAACTTTTGAAGGTGCTGCGCACACAGAGATCCAGTGAAGACCAAGTCCTCTGAAAGCCATGTTACATTTAAAAATTGGAACGTTATATTCTTGCTGAGATAAAACTCTGCTGATGCAAAACACAGTTACAGCTATAGGGGAGTCTTGATCAACAACAAACAGCACTTTTCATATACAAAAAGCAAAATGGATCACTGAGTTCCCAACGCCTTGATCTGGAAGCCTGACCCAAACCACATAGTTCATAGATCCCATGTGGTGATTTGGTTGTGACAGGATTTTAACCTGGCTGAAGCATTTTAGCTTTGCCAAGCTAAAGTACAAGCCACAGTTTTACCAATGCCAGGCCAGCACAAAGGCCAAACCTCAAGGCACCATTTTTCCCAGAGAATTAACTGGAAATCAGATCTGATTTAAAACTAATAGGGGAGAGGGAGAAAAGGGGGTTAAAAGTCAGTTTTAAGTCAAATCCAGTTCACCTTCTAAATCCATAAATGCTGTGCCAGCCCAGGCTTGGCAGCTGGGGGTGACCCCATGGGATAAGAAACAACAGGGCTGCAGCTTCTGGCAACAGCATCAGTGTAAAGCATTCCCAAAGCTATGCTTAAACATGGCTTGATCTTCTCTGCAGCAAGGATCATTATAATGCACAAACAGCCTCCAGACTCACCCAGAAATTGGTCCATCTTCTTGCTTACCAGTGGTGTCATCTGCAAAAACAATAATGATAATAAAAAATAAACTGATTCAAGTGAAAGAAAAAAGCTAAATTTAAGCACGAAATGCATCACAGCAACAGAAATACCTAGTAGTGCCAAGGCACTATAACCCCAATGTTCTCTTTTCAACAAAGTTCAACTAGAAATGGAGCAACTAAAAAGCCGCAACAAAACCAACAACCAGAACCTACTGCAGAAGTGAAGTATCACACCACTGACACACAATGAAACTCAAAATACACATCCACAGTCTCAGAGAAGAAGGAATAAAGGCAAACATCACGTAAGGGACATCTGAGAAGGTCTTTATATAGCCATTTAACATGCCAGGGAAGAAACGTCAAAGCAGCCAGTTGGAAAAGTCTATGAGGGGACAAAGACGTGTAAAATCAGTCCTACGCTTCTCCCTAGACACACACACACGCATACACGAGCCCAGGGTAGCCCGGGGGTTCACCTGCATCAACCGGGCTAACAGCGTTTGGATGGTGAGGAAACCGCGCTTGTAACAAAGCGCCCCATCAACCTCTTTGCATCGCAGTGTTGTTAAAAGGACATTACCCCTCCCTCCCCCTCCAAAACCGCAGCCAACAACCCAGGGTAGCTCCGGCCCCGCCGGCACGCACCGCCCGGCCCCGCACACAGGCCAGGTGGGGCCTAGGCGGCTCCCGAGGCGGGGCCGGGCGCTTCGCGTTGCCCCCCCCACCCCCCCGGGCCGGGGCGCGGCCTGGCTGCGCGGCCGGGGGCGGCAGTACCTACCGCCGTAGAGCCAGTGCTCCTCGTCCTCCTCCGCCTCCAGCGGCGCCGCGCCCGGCACGGCGCCAGCCGCCGGCGGCTCCAGCTCGGTGGCCATGGCTGCGGGGCTGAGGGGAGCGGGGCGCCCGCAACAGCAGCAGCAGGAGGAGGAGGAGGAGGAGAAGCGGCGGCGGCCGCCGGGGCCCCGCTAGGCTCCCGCCGGGGCCTGAGGCGAGGCGCGCATCCGCTGCGGGGAGGTCCGCAGCCACCGGGCCGGCCGAGGACTTGGCTAGAGTGGCGCCATTGCTCTTTCTTTGGTCCTGAGGGCGGGAGAGGTGTGGGGGGGGGGGACGGAGGCGAGACCCCCCTGGCGCGGGAGCGGAGGCCGCCGCCGGGCCTTAGCGCCGCCCGCCCCGCCGCTACAAAAGGCGCCGAGCACCGGGCCCTGGGCGACGGCCCCGGCGCAGGCGGCGGCGCATGCGCGGGCTCAAGGCGCATGCGCCGAGGGAAGCGGCGGCGCCCGAGGGGCGCGGGAAGGGCGGGAGCGCGGCTCCCCTCAGCAGGACCCGCCATGGGGACCTCCAACTGCGCTGGGCAAGGAGGAGCGGAGCGGGAACACGGTGACCTCCCCATGGCTGCACCAGGCGCTGCTCGGCTGAAGAGGCAGGTTTCCATCTCCCGATCAAACTGAGCCTTGTCCCCAGAGCCCAGCCAGCGGCACGGCAGGGACTCACCGTCACCACCACCATCCTTACCCCATAAATCCGACAAGATCCGCAGCCACGGCGCGTACAGGACTCGACACACACCTCAGGCTCGAGCAAGAGCCTGCTTCCTGCAGAGCCAAGCCCCTGCACTTCACAACAGCACCATCGGGAAGTGTGGATGTCACACTTAGACTTCACAACGAATCTGGTACCACTGAGACTCCAGAGAGCTTCAGCTACTGAAATAAGCCCAACGCGGAGAGCAGAGGAGCACAAAGAGCCATTGTGGCTCATGGACATATCCTGGTAGGAGCTCCCCGAAGGGCACAAGGAATCCAGCACAATTCCCAAAGAGGTTTTAGGAAGTGCCTGTAGGCAAATACTGCTGTTTGTGTTCATTTCACAAGTCCCAACAGCTGCTCTGTCAATACAACAGTATTCACAAAAGAGCTGGTGACGCTACCAGAATTGAGAACTTTTGGTTTTGTTTTTTTGGGGGGGGATTTACACATCCCATTTCTGTCCTTCCAGCTCCAAAGTGAATTTCACACTTTACACTCTGAAGATGTAGCACCTTAACTCTGCAACTCAAAGCCATCTGGTAGCTTCTGCTTTAGAGCACCTGTACCAGTGACTTACCCTCTCAAAGCCATTAATGCCATCAGTAGTAAATGGAAACTTGGAGCAATGTGATTTTCAGCACTACTCTATGCTACTGAAAACTACGAAGAACCATAAAGCAAGTTACCTTTTCAATGCACTCAAAAAATACTGTATCAAAGTTACCTCTGAAACATCACTCCTCTGCCGTTCAAGTGTGGCTGATCCATTCCTCCTCAGTGCCCTCTGCTTTCTGCTCCCAGGGGAAAGAAGGGCTGAACAAATGCTCACTGAAGCAATTGGAATAGGAATTGGACAGCTGAGATCCCCTGGTTATACACTACTGATGATTTGAGATTAATTTAAAAAGAGGTGGAAAACTGCACTCATATGAAGAGCCTCAGCAGTGGCAAACAACAGGTTTGTGGGGTTTTGTGCTACATGGTCCCAAACCAGCACTTGAACTTTACAAACACTTGAGAATTATCTAGAAAAAAGTGAAACCCAATAGGAATTACATTAGTTTTGAAAGGAATTCAATTGCACTTGGGTCAAAACAGCAGTTAGGACAATTAGCTTCTTAGTTTTCAATTTACAACTTTGGGCTTCATCTCAGATTAAGATGTGCACTGTCCTTCTATGGCCATGGATTTCACTATCTAATAGAATGTCATTTTAAGGTGAAAATAAATTAGTCTTTGATAAAGGATTATATGTGTTGTAATATAATTAATACATACATACCTAATTCAGGTATGTAGGAAACTAGTGTGGAATGAGCTGCCCTGTGCTACTGAGCTGTACCATATCCCTGTGGTTCTCCCAGCCATCCCCATTATTATCTGGGCACTCTGAGTCATTTTATACATGCAGCCTTAGGGCTCTTTTTACAGAAAATCCTAATAGACCATATTCTGCAAGTCCAGCTTCGAAGTACATATTCTCCAAGTACAGCTTCAAAGCATCTCAGATCAAGCACCCATCACAACCAGTAGGCATGTTAGTGCACTGTCTACAATACTGCCAAAAGGAAAACTCCTTTTTACTTTTCCTGCCCTATTCAGACACTTCATTGTCATCAGCATCCAAGGATATCCCTGCAGCTATTGTCTGGAGAACCAGTAATTTTCAGTTACTCACATAATTTACACTAAAGATCCGTCATTACTTTTTGTTTAATATATGCCTTTTAATTTAAAATTCTTTTTAGTCTGACAGCTACTGCAATTCCTCCTCCCAATTTTATTACAAAGTTAGATATCCCATGTGATCCAGAGTGTTCTTAAAAGGATGGGTTTTTTTTCTAGCAGAAATCTCATTTGTTATCAGTGAACTCGGAGATACACTTCTGTTTCCTGCAGAAATTTTAACTTACTGTTCAGAAAGAAGGCTATTACAGATCATACAGTTTATATAAAGAATGTGAAATTAAATGTAAGTGTATTAAAAGTATAATTCTCTAAACAGATCCAGTGATTATAGAAAATTCAGTTTACCCCAGACCCAAATTAACAGAGTCCAAATGGGTTCCATCCACTAGATTAACTACAACAAGGAAATTACTAGTTCAGTTGGATAGAGAAATAGAAACAATTGTGTCAGGTAAGGGACTAAGCAGAAGGGTTTTTGAAAAGTAGAAGCAGAATTCAGCTGTCAATCTTGGAACTAATCATTTAGTAAAAGCATTTTTGTAAACTGCGAACTGAGTCAGTGACAAAGGTTTATTTTACAGGAGGAATGGGAACACATGTACAAGGAGTTGGAGGACGGAGAGGGCCACCATAATCTAAGTACTGAGACATTCTACAGTACAAAGCCAAATGATGAGTCTGGACTGATGAGATCAGATATGAGTGTGGGGAGCTCATACAAACTGAAATGACTGAAAAGTCCCCAGCTTATCACAGAAAGACTATGAATCAGAAATGCAATACAGCCATTGAGGAGACAGAGGTGATCCTTTAAATTTAATGGATCATACTATTTTCACCAAAAAGCAGGAACTATCTACATGGAAATACCTGGTGCCTTTGCCATGAGCCATCATCTGGAATATCCAGTTGTTTCTGGTCAATCCTATTCAAGGAACATTCATTCAAACTGGAATAAATTCAAGCAAATGTATGTAGGATTATCAGAAATAGAGAACTTTGCTTTTGAGAGGTGACTAACGTTTCATTTTGTCTAACAAATAAAGTCTAAAGGGTTTATGTCTCAAAGATGAACTAAAAAATTAAACTCAGCTGGAACACTTCAACTCTTTAAGCTGTAGAACAATAGTGAGATGACACAGCATTATAAATACACTGGCACTGACACAGTTAGCTTCACTACCACACAGTTCTAAAAGTGCTTTCCAATAGTGTAAGCCAGAGCCAAATCCCAAATATTCTTATAATGGCCCTTTGCTAGTAGTCTAGACAATTACAGCTCATAAACCCTGACAGGGCATTAACTTCATGACTCAGCCCAATGTTCCCTATGTTTGGCTCAACACTCACAGTAACATTCTCTGAATGTTTCTAACAATGCTCAGTAACAGTTAAATGCTTTAACAGCACAGTCCACCCAGATGCTCCTGTGTTTGTCCAAAGCAACTGACACACCAACTCTCAACAAAAACATAGCACGTGCCCATTTCAGGAATGCAGTTATGTTTTCCCCAGGGATGAGCTAAAGGCTTTCATTTTAAGACCTGCTGTCACAGCCACAAAGCCAGCCTGTTAACACACACAAAAGACCACATTGTCCTACCTTCACAATCCCCTATAAAAGCCTATAAAATGATTTATTTCACTCACACATGAGCCACACTCGGGTTAGGCTGCCTAGAGAAGAATCCTAGGAGAAGGCCTTGCAACACCAGCTCTGTAACCCAACCAAATGACCTGCAAGGTTAGATACGATGATCACTTTGCAGTTTCCCTTATGGAAAGCCTTCCTCAGCTTTCCAAGTGTTGTTCTTTAAGCCAGCCAATTCCTTAAAGTCCCAACACGAGCACTTGACCTGGTCCTGTCCAGGATGTGTCTCACTGAAAGAGAACCCAATCCTATTGCCATTCCAGTCACAGCTACAAGGAGACGCAGAAGATAACTCTTTCCATAAACACATTGCACTGTTCAAAGGTTTTCATCTTGAAATTTAATTAAAGAAAAACATCTCAAAGTGATTAAGCACATCTGACTTCCAGCTTCTTGTAATGGCACAGGCCAGTGCAGTGAGTTGTAGAAAGCGAGCTCAAGAGTTTTATTTTCATTTAAAAAAAGGGAAGAAAATGAGAAAACTCTCAAGATGTGGTCCGAGTGTGAGGTCCTATTACAAAAGTGGCTGTTTACTTGTAAACAAGATTAAAATGTAGTGAACAAAGTTTCATACAGCTTAAACAAAACCACTTTTTTGAAGCAGTACAAGTCATGTTTCAAGACCATAAGAACACCAAAAGCAGAAAACAAAAAAGGCAGAAGAATCACATAACATTACTTACTAAAATGATAAGTAATTTACATTGAATAGTAATAGCTTGACATTTTTATTGCTCCAACAGTAGCATTTTAACAAGTAAATGTAGTGAACTGTCATAGTGGGACAATCATAAACATACTTATGGGTTTGCATGTGGAGTTTTGTACCTATCAAGGAAAGCATAGAAACTTTAACTTATCAAGACCACATCAGTAAAAGTGTTCTCTGTTTTAAAGCCACCCATCTATTACCTGAACCCACTTCCTAGAACTTGTCTCTGCATGTCCTGAAACACTTTTTTTTTCCCTCCTGTGGTAAAACAAGTTCACAGATGCAGGTGGGCAATCAGCAGGTAGGAGCTTTGATGCTCTGCCAGTGTTCTTTAATAGTTCAGTACTCCTTAGATACAAAACTTACTAGATACAAACCCAAATATTTCCTAGATAAAATCCAGAAAGGAAAGTTAGTGTCAAAATGTTGATATGAAAAACTGAACATTGATTTGGTAGACAGTGACTGCTTTTAAAAATCCACTGCA